TCCAGCCTGGACGACAGAGCAAGACTCCGTCTCAAAAAAAAAAAAAAAAAAAAAAGAAGAAGGTAAGTAGCAGTGAGGTGCAAGACAATACATACATATCAGTGAATGATATTGCCAAAAAGTGCTATTGATAGAGCAATAATTCATTTCTGCAAACATCTGCTGATCTCCTACTGAAAACAGAGGAGTGAGAACAGGACGCCTGGTGGTCAGGATAGAAGAGAAAGACCTTGAGTTGAACCTTGAACAGTATTTAATTTTCAAAGGGTTAAGAGAGGGGAGAATAGTTCCAGCACAAATGACGGTGTACAAGATGAACACAGTCAGTAAAGAGCAGACCAGTCTGGATGGAGAGGAGGATTTGCATCATTTGGGATTACGTCATTTAGACCCTTGAAAGCCAGGATTGAGTAAAGCGCAGTGAAGGGACTGGCTCGTATGGAAGGTTTATTTTAAGAAGATTAATCTGGTAGTGACATGTGCCAAAAACTGAATAGGTAGAAATGAGATGCAGAGAGCCCAGTTAGAACTGAGTCTGGTGCAGTAATGCAGGACTGAGGCAATAAATACCAAACTACAGTATCACCAGATAATGGATGTTTGAACGGACAGTTTAAAGGAAAATTGATGGTATTTGGTAATTTATTAGATAATCCAGAGCCATGGAATTAGAGGGGAAAAATGACTAGCCGTAGTCATCAAATGGTTTTTCTTAAAAACAATGAATCTGAGTTTTGGTGTAAAGAGCAGGATTTTCTTAGGCCTTGCCTAGTTGGTACCATTGCCTATGATAATGACTCCCACTATGCTTGTTCCTCTTTTAACAGCTGTGAGTCCCTCACCAGCCAAACAATGAGCCTCTTGAAAAGGACAATGCCTTTTGACTTCTCTCCAAGTGCTCAGCAAATAGGAGGCCTTTTGAAGCTACTCTATAGTTAGGGGTTCCCAGTTAGTATTTGAAATACTAAGTCATGCCTGTGGTTGACAGCGTGGGCTCTCGTGTTGTAGATTTTCCTGGCCCTACTGCTCATCATCAGCTATTAACCTTAGGCAAGTTAATGAACTTCTCTAAGCCCCGCTCTACTCATTTATAAAGTGGGATTATTAACAATGTCTACTTAATAAAATTATGAAGCCTGAGTTAGGTCATTCAGATAGTGTTTAGTCTAATTGTTAGAACCTAGTAAACAGTCAGTAAACAGAAGCAAATGCCACATGCCTGATTTATATCCAAGAGGAGAAAGGTAAATCTGAAATTTTCATGATGTATGGAGTCAAATTATACATTTCAAAGATGCTTTATAAGCTATTGTTTTGGTAAGAAGAATTGAGCTGAAGCAGAATTTTCTGACAGCAATGATTATGAAATGGTGAAATAGGCTATTGATGTCTTTAAAGAATATAGATGTTCACCTTTTGCATGTAAGTGTACAAAAATTGACTAAGTAGATATGTGTGTCTACATAGAGAGAGAGAGAGAGCATTAAAGTTAGTAAACATTCCCTTCGCTTTTTTTTTTTTGAGACAGGGTCTTACTATGCTGCCCAGGCTGGAGTGCAGCGGTGCGATCGTGGCTCACTGCAGTCTCAACACCCTGGGCTCAAGTGATCCTCTCACTCAGCCTCCTGAGTAGCTGAGGTGTGCGCCACCACACCCGGCTAATTTTTTAATATTTTTTTGTAGAGGTGAGGTTACCTTGTTGCCCAGACTGGTCTCAAACTCCTGAGCTCAAGCAATCTGCTCACCTCAGCCTCCCAAAATGCTGGGATTACAGGCATGAGCCACCGTGTCTGGCCAGTAGACCCCATTCATTTACATCATCTTATTTGTCCCTCCAACAATCCTATAAAGTAGGTAGGATCTGTCTTTATTTGTTATTTAGGTGAAGAACTTGAAGTGGTGTTGAGGAATAGGTGTTTTGCCAAGCGTCACGCAGCTGGAGTGGCCGAGCTGTATACTCTTCGGGTTCCGCCAATGCTGTTCACAACACATCCGGAGAAGGGTGCTCTGGGGCACGGATGTTTAGTGGGAGGGATGAGACACAGGCTGCGATGCCAAAAGATAACCAGGAATAAAATCAGAAAACAAGACGTTTGTTTCTGTTAAAATGAGACAGAAAATAAGGCGTTCGTGGTCTGGGATTGAGTGCTTGGAGAAGTGGGGAGCGATTTGATTTGGGTGAGACTGCTCTTGGAATGCTGCGTCTGGTTCTGGACTACTCATTACTAGGCTTATAGAAACTAGCTGGAGGAGGTTCAAAGAAAAGCTCCAAAATGATTAACGGGCTGACGGGATTGATTTATAAGAAATATTAAAAGAATTAAATGTGTATAGCTCAGCTAAGCCAAGATGAAAGAGACACCAGCTAAATGTATACAAATATCTGAAATGTGTAAACTTTAAAAAGAGGGATTTATTATTTAACGTGATACACGGGGGTACAATATGCAGTCATAGGATGAAAATTCAGCTGAGTATCTAGAAGAATTCCCCAATCATGAATCTGTTAAGGCTGTCTGTAGCATGGCCTTTCCCTGGAGAGGCCATAGAAATTTCAGGCCTCACGATTTTAAAACTTTCTTGGGAACTGGGTATTAGATGATGTTAGAGAATTATTAATTTGGTCAGGTATGATAGCGGTATTGTAGTTCTCTAAGAACAATTTTATTTTTTAAAGTTACATACTCTGAAATATTAGCATAGAATATGATGTAAGATATTTACTTTAAAATACTACAGTAAGGACAGAAAGGAGGGAGGAAGAAAAGGAAGGAAGGGGAAGAAAGGGGAAAAGAAAGAGGCAAAGAAGGAAGAGAAGGTAAGAGAAAGAAGGAAGGAAGAAGGCTGGACACTGTGGCTCATGCCTATAATCCCAGCATTTGGGAGGCCGAGTTGGGAGGATCACTTAATTAAGCCTAGGAGTTCAAGGCTGCAGTGAGCTGTGATTGCACCACTGCACTCCAGCCTGGGTGACAGAGTGAAACCCTGTCTTAAAAAAAAAATAAGTTAAAAAGAAAGCAAAGGGTAAATGAAGTGTGGCAAGATGTTGGTAATGCTGAACCTGAAGGAAGTTAATATGTAAGTTCACTTTCCTCTTCAATCTTCTTTATGTTTGCCAACTTTCATAATAAAAATATTTAAATTATATTTTCCGGATCAAAACCTAGTAGCAATATTAGTCCCTGGACTTCATGACTAGAAAAGCCTCATTACCACATGGGCAGAGTTCTGGCCGACCAGGGACCACAGTGGTTCACCATCTTGCTCTGGTAATGTAGTCTGGGCTGAAGGGCCCTTTCTAAAGTTGTGGATAGAAATCCAGGAAACTTCTTAGAACTGCAGATCTCTCAGGGTACCTGCAGGAGGTGGGTCTTCTAAGGTGAAAAAGCAGAGGGCAGAGGTCGTGATTAGCAGCTGACCCCCCCTGCTTTTCTGTCCCTCACTGATGGAAAACACTGGACACTGAGCAGAGCTCTAGGTGTCTTTGGAATAGCAAAACACTAGTTTTCTTTCCCTTTTCTTTCTTTCTTTCTTTCTTTCTTTCTTTCTTTCTTTCTTTCTCTCTCTCTCTTTCTTTCTCTCTTTCTTTCTCTCTTTCTCTCTCTCTCTTTCCTTCCTTCCTTCCTTTCTTTCCTTTCTTCCTTTCTTTCCTTTCTTTCTTTCTTTTCTTTTCTTTCTTTCTCTTTCTTTTTCTCTTTTTCTCTTTCTCTCTCTCTCTCTCTCTCTCTTTCTCTCTTTCTCTCTTTCTTTCTTTTCTTTCTTTTCTTTCTTTCTTTCTTTCTTCAGAGCCTTGCTCTGTTGCCCAGACTGGAGTGCAATGGCGCGATCTCGGCTTGCTTAACTCCGCCTCCCGGGTTCAAGCAACTCTCCTGCCTTTGCCTCTCGAGTAGCTGGGATTACAGGTGCCCACCACCACGCCCAGCTAATTTTCATATTTTTAGTGGAGATGAGGTTTCACCATGTTTGCCAGGCTGGTCTCAAACTCCTGGCCTCAAGCGACCTGCCTGCCTTGGCCTCCCAAAGTCCTGGGATTACAGGCATGAACCACAATGCCCAGGCATGAGCCACAATGCCCAGCTGCAAAATCCTATTTTTCTTGAATGGAGCAATACTTTCCCCTTATTTATTGAGTTTGGGAAGCAAGAAGAGGGGTAATTCATTAAGTGAAAGCTTCCCAAATCCAGAAAACATCGATAAAGCTGAGGCTTTATTTTTTTAAGGAATAATTTTTTAAACTATCTTCTTTTGAGCCTCTTTAGGAAGACCTCGCGTCCTTGCCTTGAATGTTGAGAGTGGGAAATCCAGGGAGGTTTTGGAATGCATGCCTTATGTCTGCTTTTTTGTTTGTTAGAGAAATATAAATATTTTATCTAGATTTTGCTGATGGCAATCAAGCATGAACACAACCCACTGTTTGAGGAGCTGTCATTTCTGAATTTCTCCAGAGTACATATCTAGGCCAGCAAATGGCAGTAAGAGTGAGGTGGATTTAGCTCAGTGAAAGGATGAACTCCGGAACCATCGGCGCTGACTGAAAGTGAAGCAGCAGCTGCATTGTGGGAAAGCTGGCTGGAGTCTCTCTGATAAACAGGCATTCTTTTTCTCCAGCCCTTCACTGTGTTGGTTCGGCCCAAAGGAAACCCCCCGGCCCCCAAGCCGGAAACCCAACAACCCCCCCCGCCTCGCCTCCAGAGTGATTGTTCTGAAGCACAGCTGGGTGTCATTCCCCTTCCTGAACTCCTAGCACCCACAGGGACTCCATCCCTTGTGCCCCACACCATGCCCCACACACAGACATTCCTAATGAAGATTTGATTGAATTCCTATAACTCAGTGCCTCCCACTCTTCTAGCTGCCTCTCTGTGTGCCTTTGTACATTCATTCATTTATTTATTTATTTATTTATTTATTTATTTTTGAGCAGAGTCTTACTCTATCACCCAGGCTGGAATGCAGTGGCACCATCTCAGCTCACTGCAACCTCTACCTCCCAGACTCAAGCAATCCTCCCATCACAGCCTCCTGAGTAGCTGGAAACACAGGTGCGTGTCACCATGCCCAGTTAATTTTTTGTAATTTTTGTAGAGATGGGGTTTCATCGTGTTGCCCAGGCTGGTCTTGAACTCCTGGACTCAGGCAATTCGCCCGCCTCAGTCTCCCAAAGTACTGGAATTACAGGCCAGAAAGCCCAGCCGCTAGCACTCACCTTAATCATACATTTACTTGTCTGTCTTTCCCACCAGACTGCGGGCTCTTTGAGAGTAAATGCTATGTTTTCACCTTTATTTCCCCAGTTTGTGGCACATTCTAGGCACTCGCCATCATCAAATAAACCTCTGGAGCTGTGATATTACAAACGTGGAAAGATGATGTACACTCAACAAGTTTCAGTGAGTAAACAAAGGCTTTCATTCAGCACATATTTATTGACTGTCCTGACTCTGACCTGCCCTCCTGTCTATGGCTCAAGGAGAGCACAGTCCACAGAATCAGAGACCTGGCTGCTCTGGAAGTTAGACGTAAGCCCACCCCTGGTCCTTGAGTGGGGAAGCATTTCCCTTCATTCCTGTGTTTTAGGGACGGAAAGATGAGTAATGCAGTGACACATGCTGGAAATGTTTATTCCACTACCCTAAGCTGCCTCTCAACTTGAACAATCCATGCAAGAAACAAGATGATATATAACTTATTCTGATTTGTGATGCCTTTGTTTATTTGTTTCCAGTTAAAAGAGGAGGTGGCATTGAATTGTTTGTTTGGTTTGGTTTCTTCGTCAATAAGAAGCATCTTAATATAACTAGTCTGGACATCTGTCCTATTTTCAAAAATTACAAGTTTCGATCATTGCTAAATTGTACAGATCCCAATCTGTCTGCTCTGCATACATTTGCATTTATAAAAGCAGAAGCAGACTAGCAGTCTTTCTAATGCAATCCCCTAAATGCATGAAGTATTAGATTGCTTCTCCCTATTGGTTCATGCATTGCTAAAGGCTTAAAAGGATCATTGATTTGAATTATTTAATGTGTACAGCAGGCTGAGCTTCTTTTCTTTTTTAAGAGAAGAACCTTCAGGGGCATTGCTTTAGTTTTTTAAGGTAAAACCCAATTTTCCTTGAAAATAAGAAGTTAAAGCTGTATTCACATCAGCTCCCAAAGTGCCAGATTTTCATTGTGTTTTTAAACCATCTAGGAAATGTTTGATTCTAATGAAACATTACTGCTGAAAATTGGGCTGAAATTGCTGGGCTGAAAATATTGTTATAACTTCACATGATTCCAAGGTTGTATTGTTATTTTTTCTTTTTCTTTTCTTTTTTTGACCTGATATAGATGAAGCAAAGAGACAAGGAGCAATCCAACGTGTAATAAAAAAGGCAGCCTGGATTGTTGTTGCTGTTTTTGAAATTTAAGCTGGTTTTCAATTAAATTCAGTAAATGGTCCAGGACTGTAAATGTTGAACATTTTTTACTGTGTAATTTAAATTTTAGTCTTATTGTTTTTGTTTTTTTTTTTGATGGTTTACATTTTCCCCATGGAAAGCAGCTATGTCATGTCGGCACGATTCATGATGGTAACATCTGGGGGTATGGGCTTATTTTGGTTTGTGTTATGTTCAGAAAGCGGGATGCCAAAAATAAAGAGAGGTTTGTGATGTCTAGTGTGTCTTCCTTTAACAAATCAAAGGCTCTTATTTAATCCACTTAATGGGACACTGCAGAAATTTAAAAAATGGAAGTTCCATCCACAGAAGGCAGTCCTATGATGTAAAAAGCTTAGTAGGGGGATTAATAGAGTAATCATATAATTTAGGAACTAAACGGAGACACTTTTTTTTTTTTTTTGAGATCGAGTCTCACTGTTGTCCAGGTCAGAGTGCAGTGACGTGATCGCAGCTCACTGCAACCTCCGCCTCCCGGGTTCAAGCGATTCTCCTGCCTCAGCCTCCTGAGTAGCTGGGACTACAGGCGCCCGCCACCACGTCCAGCTAATTTTTGTATTTTTAGTAGAGATGGGGTTTTACCATGTTGGTCAGGCTTGTCTCAAACTCCTGACGTCAGGTGATCTGCCCACCTCGACCTCCCGAAGTACTGGAGATCACAGGTGTAAGCCACCATGCCTGGCCCAGAGACACTTTTGAGAGTGAAGAGGAAGCATGAAAATAATTCATTGATCTACAACTGGGACCATCCAGGGCAAGCCAGATGCCATTACCACTATCTAGAAAGCTTGCCAAGGTCTCATTTACCTTGGTATATAGCAAATTCTTCTTTGAATTCTGGAAATTCTGGTAAGTCATTGAGGTAGCTCTGTACCAAGGAGCAATATGGCAGAATTCTAATATTTCAGACAATACAACACTTTCCTGAATTTATAGCAGGTAAAGGGAGGCACAGAAGACAAAACCATTGGGACTCGACAAAGGGCATAAACATCTAATGATAAACCTGATGTAGCTGATGGTAAATTGTTATCAGCTAAAGGTCTTTCATAATAAATAAACTTATCATTCATAGGAGGGCACAGAAATCATGGAAAACTGGGATTCGGGTTGCCTGTGACTTTAATTCTGGAATCAGAAATATTGGTCAAGGATATCCGTCCATGAAATAAGTTTTCAATGTTATATGCCACAAGATGCAGCTGTCCTATTTTCACTTCCAGTAATTCCTTCTGAATTAATATACCTTAAAAATAGCTGCAGCTTCTCAAATCTGTGAGAATCGTATGTGCTGCTTGCTACACTTTCCTTTTTCCTGAAGGTCTCTTTGAGGCCTTTCAAGAACTCCGTTCAATTCAGCAACAATTAGGGGGTCTAAGGTATACAGACGCTGTGCAAGATGCTCCTGAGACACAAAGAGGAGGTCAAGCCCCTGCCCTCAGGCACCTCTCTATTAATATAGGAGGAGAAAGAGAAGAAACGTTAATACAACGCTACATAGGTCGGTGCAATCCAAAGGGTACATAAGTTAAAGCCAGGTGGTAGGTGTAAGAAGATTTGTAACAGAATTTTCTGCATGTTTGAAATATCTTAGAATTTTTAAAAATTAAAAAGGGAGATACATATATGTATTTATGTATGTATATATGTGTGTACATATACACACATATATACATATTTGTGTATATATTTGTATTATATATCTGTAAGACTTTAGAAGACTGAGAAATCACATCTGATTATGGGGATCTGTGATGGCTTTGTCTACCCTTTTCCGCAACACACCGTACACTTTGTAACCCATCTTCCCTAAAAACTGTCTCATAAAGAGTCTTCTTTCCCTGCACCTGTGCAATGGTAAGCAGCAAAACACACATTCTTTTGGGTCCCTATAACATTCCCTGTAGTCTACCCTTAACAGTCTTTGATGTGAAATTTACTCTTTCTGTCTTAACCTTGCCTGTCTCACGTACGTGGAGTTTTGGCTCCTGGCTCCTAGTCTGCATCTTCGCCCCATCCCTTGCCAAAAGAATCTGGTTATGTGACCACTGCTCATCTTCTCCGCTGCCACAACTCCAGTCCAAGCCACAAACCTCTGTCGCCTGGACTCCTGTGGGGAGTTCCTTTCTCTCCCTGCATGAGTCGATTCACCGGCCAAACAAATTAATAAAAAAGTAAGGAGCCACCTGGGCTAGCAAATTAGGAGTTGTTTAGACAGACATGAAAAAGAAAGCAAGGAAGAGAGAAAGTCACTATACAGAAGAGAGAGACCCATGACAGCAGAGACAGTGAGCTGGTAAAGTGGCTGGCGATCTAACCCTTGAAAATACCTCCAGAGATGCCGGGCATGGTGGCTCACGCCTGTAATCCCAGCACTTTGGGAGGCCAAGGTGGGTGGATCACCTGAGGTCAGGAGTTTGAGACCAGCCTGGCCAACGGTGAAATCCCATCTCTACTAAAAATATAAAAATTAGCCGGGCATGGTGGCGGGCACCTGTAATCCCAGCTACTCGGGAGGCTGAGTCAGGAGAATTGTTTGGACCCGGAAAGTGGAGGTTGTAGTGAGCCAAGATCACGCCACTGCACTCCAGCCTAGGCAACAGAGCAAGACTTCGTTTTAAAACAAACAAACAAAAAAACCAGAAAGGAAGGAAGGAAGGAAGGAAGGAAGGAAGGAAGGAAAGAAGGAAGGAAGAAAAGGAAGGAAGGAAGGAAGGAAGAAAAGGAAGGAAGGAAGGAAGGAAGGAAGAAAAGGAAGGAAGGAAGGAAGGGAGGGAGGAAGGAAGGAAAGGAAAGAAAGAAAATACCTCTGGAGAGCCAGGTCTCTTAGGCCTTCTGAGAAACTCACATCCCTTTTGATGAACACAAATGCTTCACACTCTCAATGTTATTGGTAATCCAAGTTATCAATATGCCTAAATCACTTAGTACTGAATCTGGCATATAGTAATCACCTAATGAAGAGATTAGAGTCATGGAGTATTCTGCGGCAATTAGAATCAATAGACTCAATATACACACAGCAACAAAGCTGGATCTTAAAAACCGACCTGAGTGAAAAAGGAAAGGGAAAGATATGTAACACAGTACCATTATGTAAATTGATAATATAGGCTTACACAATTTGTAAGAACACATACAAATAAATACATGTACATTAAACATACTCGAACGGTTACCTATGGAGTAGTGGCTGGAGGAGGGGGTAAGTCCATAAGCTGGAATGGAATCTAAATAAATATACGAAACAAAAGTAGGAATTGGAAGGAGTAACAATAAAAATGTGCCGTGAGCTGAGGAGTGTAATTAATCAACTCACTGCATCTGAGGTTAAAAACAGAACGATAATACTTGTTATTACTATTACTCCTAGGCCTTCCACTTTCTTTCAGCTTTAGAATGGTGGGCTATCCTTCAGAGGCACCCTCTTTGCACCTGCACAGGCCGGGGAGCTTTTTCCTTCAGCTTTCTAGGTGATTTAACATATCAGGGAATAAGTATAAAAAAAGGCACGGTGCTCCCTGGGTAGCCTTTCTGGACTTCAGAGCTAAATTGCAAAGTCAGTTTTACACATGTGATTTCATCTATGAAATTAGGGCAAGGTAGAAAACTGGCACAGAAAAAAAGTGATTTATTATGGTGTTACTGTCCCTTACAAGCGGAGTATCAGCTGCCTCTTTTTCTCCACTGATTTAAGGCAAGACGAACTGAAAGTGGCTATGATCACGTTTTCAAAAGCACGCTCGGGCCCCTCGGCTGCAGGCGCCCTGCACATTCGCCAGCTGCATGTCCGGTGGTGACACAGTGCATAATTGCGGCACCTTCATGGGGCAAACTCTCTCACTTAGCTCCGTCACGCTGGCACAGCAGAAAGGAAGAAATCGAAAATGTCTGGATTTCAAAGGTAACAAGAAGCTGGAAAACAACTACTGGCCGAGCTTGAGACTTTCAGCGGAGACTGGTGCAGCTTTGTGTTTTTCCACTGACAGCTGAAAATGAGTCCAGCTTTAGCAAAGCTTGTTTCCTTCCTTCCTCAAGGTTACCCACAATTCTAAGTTCTCTCAGGAAAGCCAAAAAATGAATGTGAGGGTTCAGGATGGTTGTTCTTTTATCTATTATAGGATTGATAACACGTTCCTCCACCCAGTGTTCTGCTTGTAGCAATACTCACTTCCTGACACTGTTGCATGTGCAGGAGTGTTACTACCAAGGTAAACACAGAATTGGCTGCCCAATTCCAAATCGACGACCTGAGTGAGAGAAACCAGAATTATAACAGGGAATTCAACAGAGCTGGCCACTGATGTGCCAATGGTCAGGTACTTTGCTCATCATGTGCAGGGGCTGCTGCTCTAGCAGCTGTTCACTGCTTCATTTCCTGCCTTGGTCTTTAAATACTGCTCTTCTCAGCTCAATTGCCTTTCTTCCCTCTGGCAGTCATGTTCCTTTGGGTCAAACAGCAAATGATTCTTTGGAATCACCTTGTACTCAAAGGAGCTACAACAAGGCATTGGGCATCCACATCCACTCTCTTGGAAGAACAATTTGATGGAAGCCGAGGTTGCCATAGTGCCTCTTGAGGTTGTTTGCTCAGCCAAGGTCCAAGCTTTGTGCTTCAAATATGAAATTAGAGAACTTCAGAACAAGATCCACGTTTGCAAGGGCCTCACCCGATTGGATAAAAGAACAATTGCCATAGTTATTTCAGTGACCACCTTTTCCCAGGTGGGATGGTAGATGCTGGAATGGGTCACTGAGCATTGCCCAACCAAACTTTACACAAGAGACTGGAGGCTCTGACTGGGGACCCTAAATATGTAAAAGTTAATAGGCTCTTCATGCAGAATATGAACCCCACATATGGATATAGCTAAAGGGTTGGCCTTTATGTCTCTATTCCTCCACAGACCTGGTAGAATATATATGCCTTTTTCCCTTTAAAAAATAATTGTCAACAATTGCATTTACGATGCTATGTACAGTAACTCACAGATCATGCTCCACGAAAATGCTTCAGAACCCCATATAGGAGATTTTTTAGCCATGTGTGACAAAAGAGAGGCCATTTCAGTGTTGAAATTCTTCAGAGAAGTATTTGATTATGTTTTCTCAGATCTTTTTATTTTTTAATTTTTTTTTTGAAACAGTCTCACTTTGTCACCCAGGCTAGAGTACTGTGGCTGCGATCTTGGCTCACCGCAACCTCTGCCTCCCAGGTTCAAGCGATTCTCCTGTCAGCCTCCTGAGTAGCTGGGATTACAGGCGCGTGCACCACCATGCCTAATTTTTGTATTTTTAGTAGAGATAGGGTTTCGCCATGTTGACCAGGCTAGCCTCGAACTCCTGACCTCAGGTGATCCACCCGCCTGGGCCTCCCAA